AAATACATATACTATAAATAAATATATTTTAATGGATGATAAAGGAATGGTAATGCCCGCCTGCGCTAACGTTAAACGCTGGCGGGACACCAATGAGGGATGGTTGATGAGAATAAAGAGGCAGATCAGTTAGCCCATCGTGACGAATTGCACAAGAATTAAGAAAAACTGAGGTTAACCTGATAGGGTATATTGCTAGCAATGGAACTGTTAGATCACCATTACTAACAATCCCTTCCCCCCTAATATTGTTATTATCGTCTATTGGTTCAATAACCAATTTAAAATAGGTACTAATTTATCTTTCTATCTATTCGTGTAAAGCCGGGGTGAGTAGCTAGTTACTTTAATTCTTTTTCTCATTGTATGTAAAGTATTTCGTTGTCGCAATTGTAAAACTATTTTAACGTACGAAATTATGGGGGGAAAGGGATTGTTAGTAATGGAGACTGAGAATCCCATTGCTAGCAATATACCCAACCAGGTCGACCTCCTCGCGGTTCCCCCTGGAAACTACCATGGTTAATTCCTGATGAATTCATCATGATGGGTTAACTGGCCTGTTTTCATTCTCATCTATCACCCTTCACTGGTGCCCCGCCAGCGTATCCCGTTAGCGCAGGCGGGGTTACCATACCATTTTCACCCATAAAAAAAAACGTACGAAATTATATTACTTAATATATTTTAAAACGACGGCTGAGATGATATACTTTTAATTTAAATCTTTAAACAGTTTATATTTAAATTATAGTTATAGTCAAATTAATTACATCTACCATTTATTTCCGGTTACGCAGCATAATTTGTAGGTTAAACGGGATTTCTTAGCAACGTGTTAACTGGTTCTTTGTTCAATATATCAGGCCATTACATAAAGAGACTTTAATGAAGGCATAGGTTGAGGTAGGCTTAAAGACTTCTTTTAGCGAGACATCTTTGTTAATAAACTATTATTATTATTAACTTATTGAAAATTTTATCTTTTAACTTACTTTTGTGTCAGCTTCATACTTTTATACTTTATCCAAGCTGAGTGTGTTTCTAGTTATACCAAGAAGGGATATCAGTTAGTGGTAACAATCCATCAACAATTGAATTTCTGAAATGTGAAGATTACGTATTTTAATATTTTCAAATATTTTTACTTGGTTTCCACGATACTAATATAACAGCATGAATTCATTCATTGGACACGTTAAATTTGACTTATCGGATCAACTTGTTCTTAGTCATGCATAGATTTTTCGTAAATACACAATGTTGCATCCTTTTTAGTTCTCAGTTACGGAAATTCCGTATGATGACGATGGCAGAACATTTCGTGCGTATCACAACGTCTTGTTTTGTCTCTTCTTCTTTTGAATATTAATTTTCAAGCTTAACCCCATAAATAGATAATAAATTAATCTATTCATACAATAAAAACGCTTTCGTTAGCGTTATGAGAAAAAAATACACTTTCTCAGCTCACCAAAATCTCTCCTCCAAAAACACAACGCACTGAGACCAAATATTTGTAGAAAATCTAACCTAACTTGACCTACTCTTAATTTTTTTCATTTATATTTCACTTTTATACTACTGAGGTGGCAAACAAGCATATGGCGCACCCGATGGTAAGCAATCACCAAAGCCTGTTAACACCTGCAATATCGGGGGTATTACACACGCGTTTCCTTCCGACCCTAAAGAAACTTCTTTACCTCTTTTTTGAAGAACCCCATGCTGTAGTCTTTACGAAAAATTTTATTTAATTACCATGCAAATATTTAAAAAACACAAGATAAACATTTTTAATACCACTTAAACCTTTCGAGTTTATACATGGCGCTTTACATCATATAATCTTACATATAGTACGATACAGACTTAAAGGCACCTCATAAAATTTATTAATAGAATAAAATATAGAAAATATAATAATCTTCTTTTTCAGTCTCAGCCTTTGAATTTTTAAATATGAAAGTAATGTTATAATTTATGAGTCATGATAATTGATTGGCATTCAAATTTATCATTTGCATTGATTAATGTGAATATTTATAATATCGATATGAAAGAAATGACAGTTAATTAACGCTTAAATATCGATTAAATTGCATTCCTTTGATAATTATGAGAATGCGTATTATTACAGTTAAAATGTTACGTGTAATTTTTGACTATCGGATGTTGGCAGCACTGAAGTAGGGTTCAACAATATTCAAACAATTTGGAGTCGCCTGCGGGATTTGATTTGATTTTAGGCGGGTTTTCAATTTCCATATGAAAAAGTCGATTATCAATGGGGGGAGGGGGATAGGTTTGTTAGTAATCCTTACTAATATTATAAATATGAAAGTGATTTCGTTTATTGGTTTGTAAAGCGCCTTAACGATTTAACCAATCACTATTCAAATTTGGAATACGTATACTATATGGGATGGAGAAGGATATAGGTTGTATCTTCACCTGACCGAGATAAAAGATATTTTATCCTGGTCAGTAAATACATCCCGTTTAGTCAGACGTAGTCGCGGGTCCAAGCTAGTTCCTAATAAATTTGTCACGATGATCCAGCTGAACTGACTTGATTCTCATGTATCATCTTTCACTGTTGCCCCTCCAGTGGATAAAACGAGTGTATCCGTTTTCACCTATTGAAAAAAATCGCCAATCATTGCCACGTTCCAAAAATCAATTCGTGCCTAGAAAAATCATCCAAAACTGGTCTATAAGTAGACTGTCCGGTTTATCACTTTCGTTTCGGTTTTTTAAAATTTTTTAATTGTCAGACAAGTGAGTGATTACCCTACTGTGCCTTATTCCGTTAGTTAGTCTGTCATTTGAACGAGCTCGCATTAGGGTAGTCTTCCTAATAATAAATCGTGATATTTTTTTTATTTTTAATTATTATTATTTCAGGAGTTAACTGTCCACTGCTGGACATAAGCTTTCCCCATAAGAGGAGTTTTGCCAGTAGTTGCCATGCTTGGCAAGTGAGTTGGCAACCGCAGTTACGCTTTTTAGAGATGTTTTAAGAACGACGCTGCTGCCCATCCCTCGCCCTCCCTTAGTTGCCTCTTACAACACTCACGGAAAACGTAGGGCCCATTCTATGCCGGGGCACACACGATGAATTTAAAAAATTGTCACCAAATATTTAATTTTATTTACAAAAATATTAAGACTAAAAAAATTATTCAAAATACAGAAATTCTTTTTTTTTTAATTATCTGACTAATTCAACCATATAGACATAAACAGTCCAAGTTTACGTTTTACTATCATGTCTCCTCAACCTTCCTTTCTAAAACAACACTTGCTAATCTCAAATAATACATACTCATATGCAGGTTCTGAATATGAATACAAAAAATATTAGATTATGATATTACGAAAAAAAAAACAATAACGGGTACGAATAGATTCGAAATCTATTTTTTTTTTTCTTTATTTATAGAATTTTGTTTTTATTCGCGTATACTTTTCATGCTACAATATATTTAATTTTACAATTAAATGCTATTAAAACTATGTGATTTTAGAATTTCGGAGATTCTCACCTGTTCTTTTTTTTTTTGTAAGTGAAATACTTTTACAATTCTGAACTGACTTTGATAATTTTTTTAATCGACTTCAAAAAGAAGGAAGGTCTCAGTTCGTATGTTTTTGTATTTTTTTATGTTTATTAACTCATAACTCCGTCAGTTGTGAACCGACTTAAAAAAAATCTTTTTTGTCTTAGATTGGTCCCATACAAATTTTTATCAAAATCATCAAAGGTTACACGGTTTAGTTTTTAAATCAAAATAACTGGTTTTACCACAAGTGGAGTCTGTTTTTTTTTAGAAACATAGTTTTAATTATTTGTATTCGATAGCGGTAACTTCCTTATAACTAATGTAAGTTTGTCACAACTAATATCACTAGGTTTTTGTGTAAATCAAATAGCTATCCGAAAAACTTTGTAAATAATATACGATACAAAGATATGGAAAATAACAATAATAATTTTATGCAAAACTTGTGATCCGACCCAACTTCGCACGGCTAGATAAAATTTTCGAAAATAATATGTTAGTCGCTGATAATATAGCTTTCTATAGGTGAAAGACAATCAGGTATTTTCTCTTTGTAATATTAGTGTAGAAAAACAAAAACCTACACTTAAAGATTTTATATAATATATGGAACACTCGATGTGTGATTGTGAATCCAAACAACTCGCGCTTGACCGGAGTTATTGTACTTTAATCAACGTTGCGTGCACCAGAACACTTTGTCTTTGGCAATTCAATTAATTTTTTTTTATTTAATTCAATAAAAGTTTGGGCGCGTGGCGATTTATCTCTTGATTGATGCAAGCACCTTATAATATTATGTGACCATTATATGTCAAAGTGCACATAATTAAAAATAACTGTAAAAAATTGGTATGTTTATTCAACAATAAAGGTACTTTAAAATAAAGATCGGAAACGATTATTATGGTATAAAACAAATTGAAATAAAATAAATTCATATGCTCACTACCGTAATCTCTTTTGGGGTAGATAGAGGCGTTATTAACTATTCTTGTTTAAATGTATATAACATTCGATATGCCACATTTCGCCGAGCATATTTTGTATATTTAAATTGGTACGCAAAGTTTGACGTCCACGAGATTCAAACTCACGACCTTTGAGGTCTATAAGTCGGGATAGTATGCCACTAGGCCATAATGCTGATATATTGGTATATTTATTTTTAATACTTGACATAGGTATCTTGACATATATTTTTATCAACATAAAATAGAATGAGCGTTTATATTATTTAATTAATTATTTTAAATATGCCAAGTTTAAAAAAATAAATTGTATCTACTTATACCTATCGTCCATGACTCTATTCACATCTATAAGCAATGGTTAGCACTTTGGTAGGCCGTCAACTTACGAGTATTGGACTTGTAAAGTCATAAAAAAAATAATTACATTATAAAAAAAGAAATATCAACAATATAAACTTACCTATTGAAATAAACGTTACAGACACAATTCAGAGTCTTTACGTAAAAAAAAGACTAAAACTTTTCACTACTGAAAGACTCGTTAAAAAGTTATTTTATAACGGACACTTTTAAAGAAAATTAAACTTAATTTTTTTATTCTTATTCAAACTAAACACAAAGCGTTTTTTTTTTTTTAAATAATATCCTACGTTTTTATTTTAAAATTAGCCACATGTGCGTTTTTCGCCTTAGATGATAATGTATTTAAAATTCGAATTGCGAAGAATACGTTCGGAAGTTTGAAAGAGGCGCGCTCGCGCGTCCTAGCGGCGCGCACGTTTAGTTGCGAAATGATTATGTGTATGCCACTGCATTCATCTGCTAGTCTATAATAGTTTTTAACTGATAATTAAACACGACATTCCTTGACCGTAGGGCCGTGCGTTAGACTGAGTACTGCATTTTTGTAATATTCCAGTTAGAAAGGTCGCCTTAGTCAGGTAAATAATTGATGAATGAATTTAGGATTAGTAAATAGACAGGGCTAGATTACGACTTATGTACGAATATACTCGACTTAAGTCACTTAAGCGTCTTAAGAAAGTCACTTATTTGTGATTTTTGTCTGCTAAAAAATGTCCTTTTACATTAACATCGTGTTTTTTTTTTAAATGAATGATAATAAAATGGTAACCCCGCCTACGCTAAAGGTATACTCGCGAAGCACCAGTGAAGAGTGATAGGTGAGAATAAAGAGGCAGGTCAGTCAGCCCATCGTGATGAATTCATTTAGAATTGAACACGATGGTTTCCAGGGAAAATCGCGAGAAGGTGTATACCTAACAAAGTGGCTACTAATCCTCATTCTTAACATTTCCTTCTTCACCCTATTGTCTACCTATGCTTTTAATTGTGACAAGAGACAATATTTGACTTTAATTTTAATCTGACTATAATAAAATTCACTAAAATTGCATACTTGGGTGTGGATATTCTAGATTTTTATTTTGATGAATGAAAATGGAATGGTAGCCCCGCCTGCGTTATTGGTAGACGCTAGAGGGGCGCTAGTCAAGGGTGAAGTGATAGGTGAGGATGAAAGCAGGTCAATTAGTCCATCGTGACGAATTCAACAAGAATTGCTTGCCAAGGATAAATACGTAGAAGTTATTGACTTCTACGCGATTAACATTGACAACCATATTGCTGAAAGAATATTGATACAGCCTTACTTTTTTTTATGCAACTTAGAATGGCAAACAAGCTGACGGCTCATCTGATGGAAAGTGGTAATCGTCGCTTATAGACATGAGCAGAACCATGGACATAACAAAGTATACTGTTTCGTCCATGATACCCCACATGCGTTGCCATTCCTGAGGACTCAGGTGTTATTCCTCTGTACCCAGTAAATTCACGCCGTATCCCACCCTTCAAACCGCAACACAGCCATGCAAACACAACTGCTTTACGGTTGAAACACAAATGGGACAGAGGTACCCAAGCAATCGACTTTTGTACAAAGTCTCCCTCTGGTAACAGAAAAGCAATAAGGCTGTATTATTGTACTCATAGCATTTATATATACAGACAATACTCGTTGTACTATTAGTCCTACTAATATTAATGTGAAAATTTATAGAGATCATTGAACATTTGTATGTTTTTACTAAAGGACGCGTACGGATTTAAATGAAATTTTGGTGGTGGGTGGGTTATATCCTAACTATATATATATATATATATATATATATATATATATATATATATATATATATATATATATATATATATATATATATATATATATATATATATATATATATATATATATATATATATATATATATATATATATATATATATATATATATATATATATATATATATATATATATAAAATTCAAGGTACTGTTCATGTCTATAAAAGACGGTTACCGCTTTCCATAAAATGGGCCGTCTACTTGTACCATTGTAAGTTGTGTACAAAGAAATAAAACGTATTTTTACTCTATTATAACATATGTATGTATTTATTAATAGAAATAAATTACAGAAGATAAGTAACAGCTCATTACAAATAATTGATATGCAGTTCCGTTATGTGTCTGATAGTTACTCATCACTTGTACCACAGATAATATAATACTCTTGTACCTAGCTACCTATATTGGACCTTTCACCAAACAGCTTGGACTTAGATGAATTACATTTCGTATATTTGTCCCAGATTCCTAGACTGGTCCTAATAAAGTGTTATTTCCATTCTTAGGATGATAATGGAATGGTAACCCCGCCTGCGCTCTCGGTATACGCTGGCGGAGCACCAGTGAAGGGTGACAGATGAGAATGAAAATAGGCCTAACTGGCCTATTTTCATTCTCATCTATCACCCTTCACTGATCTCCTTCACTCATCATGATGAATTCATCAGGAATTAAGCATGATAGTTTCCAGGGGAAACCGCGAGGAGGTCGACCTGGTTGGGTATATTGCTAGCAATGGGATTCTCAGTCTCCATTACTAACAATCCCTTTCCCCCCAAGTCCGCCTATGTACCTTGTCATTGTCTTTATGGCCTGATATCTACATTAAATATGTACATATAATAAAATGTATACAAACAAACAAACAAAGAATACTATTTGTCAGTAACTACATCACTTGAGAACGGTTGAAGATGAATGGATTGAGTAATATGGGTAATATAGTTTATGTTCCTCATTTAAGGGGGGGGGGGGTTGTTAGTAACGCGGACTGCCCAGTCACATTGCTAGCAACAGTTAGATTTTTTTAATGGATGACAATGGAATGGTAACCCCACCCGCGCTATCGGTATACATCGGCGGGGCACCAGTGAAGGATAATAGGTGAGGATGAAGCAGGTCAGTTAGCCCATCATGACGAACACAACAAGAATTGTTCACGATGATTTCCAGGGGGAACCACGTGGAGGTCGACCTAATAGGGCATATTGCTAGCAATGGAGCTGTCAAACTCCATTGCTAACTATCCCTTTCCCCCCGCAATAGTTAGGTTAGGTTAAATAGTCTTTGCTTAACAGGAGATACCAAACCCTGTAATTTAACTAACTACCTTCGTATAAAGAAATAAATTTATTATTATTATAATAGTCAAGTCGGTCTCCACGTGACCCCCTTGGAAACCATCGTGCTGAGTTCCGGGTATATTCATTAGATACTATAAGCTAACTGACCTGCCTTTTCATTCTCACTTATCATTCCTCACTGATACCCTGCCAGCGTATACCTTTAGCACAGGTGGGTTCACCATTTCATTATCATCCATTAAAAAAAAAAAACATTTAAAAACTTGAAGGTACAAAATAACAGACAAAATAGTTAAATAAATAATAAATAATCTCACATAAAAATCTATAATATACGATAATAGTACATTGTTCATCAAGGGAAGCAATTAACCGATTGCCAAAGAGTTTCTTCCGCATGGTATTCTTGTCGAATGTTTGTTTTTTAATCGTTGTTTATATTTCTTTATGCAAATCCTCAATTTAGGTAGAATACATGCAGTAAACTAGGTTAGTATTGTCTATACATTTTTAATAAAAAAAAAGCGTTAAATAGCTACTTACTCAAGTATTTTTATAGAGCATAGATAATATTATGTACATTTTTATTGTTTAACTAAATGTGGTCACGACTTAGTTGGCATGTGGTCATCTTCTATCAAAATAATTTTTTAGCTATTTCCAAACAAAGACACCAAAAATGTTTTTTTTTTTGTGTCATATCGAAGGCATATTTAAGGACGTGCCGGATGGATCATTACTAACCACGCAAAATTTGTTTAGTGCCCACCTCAGGATCAGGAGCAGAACTATCAGTTGTAGAGAAAAACATATCTACGAATACATATGCACCTTTTTAAGAAGCCATACTCCCATTCCCTTAAAAATAATCTTAAATGCTCAAATAAAATAATCAAAATTACAATTTTCTAGTCTTAATTTCGTATGTCAATAAATAATATTGACTCTAACTCCGACTATTATCAAGGGCATTCTTGTCTACTGCAATAGACTATAATATATATGTCTATATAATTATTTTGAAAACATTACTATTTAACCCATTTTGGGGAATAATTTTTAACCACAGATAAATTGCTATATAGTACCTATATCGCTATTTTTAACCTTTTTCCTAAATTGTTCCTATCTATTGCCAAGTAGAATTGACTTTACAATTTTACATGATAGTACTTGACTTTGAAGAATTGACCCTTAGGTCTTTTGATGATGGGGGGGCGGGAATCCCCCAAAGCCCAACTAGAGGAACGAGATCCGTGAGTCGGTGCCCGCGTATTCCCGGGCACCACTCGGAGTGAGCCCCGATGAGGGCGGCGCTGCTGGGGATGTGGAGATATGCGAAAGCCCATCCCAGGTCACCAGCACTATGGCGCCAAGAGGAATACTGGAGGGTTTTTAATGGGTAAGAATCCCACAGTACCCATCGTTATCCCGCTGGCGGTGGGTCTCTTTCTGAAGATTTTCCCCTCGACAAAGAAAAGGTCTTTTGGTGATGAATATTTAAAATTTCTATAATCTACACGTTGACTCATAGTCCGTCACAGTGACAAATCGGTTACGTGAGACGTGAAATTCTAATACACAAATAGATAAATCAACAAACAAAAAAAAACAAAGCATCGTTGTCGGTTATAGTATACATGAATTACATTTCCAAAAATGTACCGTTTTGACTCCGTTCCGATTTTAAAATGTGTAACAAAATAAGTTTTTTTTTTAATCAGAACCGTCTACAGTGCAAAATTCTTGAACAGTTATAATAAAGACCCGAGCCGTAGACGGTCTTTTTAGTCCGCTGTACAGAAATGACCGTATCTAACGAATGTTGTGATGGTCATTTTACGCGCACTCAACGCACATGATAGTTTGTGAGCGATCATAGCGGTCAAGTTTGTACCATGTTTGTCCATCGTCTGCTCAGAGCCAAATCGTTGTTTAGCGTAACAATGCGTTCGCATGGTTTGCCGGCCGGTGTCTACTGTATACCTACCCAGTGAGCGCGTGCCTCATTTTGAACCAGTTTTAATTTTCGCCCCGAGCAATAATATTATTATTAGTAAGCATAAAGGCATAAAAAACGAAACGAAGGTCTAATTGATATATTAATAGATAGAACACCAATTACTATTCAACGCCATTTTAACGCCTACTGTAAAATATTTATTGCTTGGTTATGTAAAATATAGTTCCTATATTACCTTATTTTAGATTAGTTTAATTAGAAATATACCCTGTAAGGTTAACCTTCACGCGTTGTCCCCTAGAAACTACCATTATTACTTCCTGACCCAATTCTTCACGATCTGTCAATTGATTTGAAGGCCTACCACGAAATATTTTCCGAAATTTCAGGGACGAACGAAATAGAAATTTGATGTTAAAATTACATAATAAATGCCGTTTAAAATTATTAAAAATATTAAAATACCGTTCCTCTGGACTATTAGGATAAGATTTATGATGAATGAAACATTAAGCCATTTACTGGGTCGATTTAGGTATGAACAAAAACACGAAATTGAACCCGAAAATTCGGAATTTCATTTCATGGTAGGCCCCCTGACTTTATCCCTATCTATAATATTATCAATCACTAATATCCCATACTCTTCCAATGTTACCGTATTAAAAAAAGCTTGCACATACGAATAAGTTATCTCTGCTGCGCGTATGCCACTAATATGGCTATCTTAACACTGTTTAGTGTAATAAAAGTTCATCTATCCATGAATTACTTTCGCTATTTCAATAATCTGTGCCACCTTTCTACGGCACCGTTATTTCGAGGATGTATGGAGAGGGTCGGGTTTTATTTATACCTAAGCCACTCTATCAATTTCCTAAACAAACAACTTTCAAATTAGCGACCCTGATCTATTATAGCCATTAGCTGAAGTAGGTAATGACCTAATGATCTATGTATATGCACTTGTCTAAAACAGTCGCAAAAAAACAATGCAGTTTTAAATACAGTTTTTTTTTTGCATATAGAAAGATATTAAAAGCATGTATTAATAGGCATGTGGTCCCGGCATAGAATAGGCCACCCCTTCCTTTCCCGTGGATGTCGTAAGAGGCGATTAAGGGAAGGCGAGAGATGGCAGCAGCGTCCCTTTTACAACATCTCCAAAGCCTTTCCGCTGTTGCCAATTCACTTGCCAAGCGAGGCAACTACTGGCAAACCCTCCAAGGGGGAGGCTTACGTTCAACACTGGATAGTTAAAGCTGATTAAATGGTGATTAAATGCAACCCCGCCTGCGTTATTGATTTACATTGACGGTGTACCAATGAAGGATGATTATAACAAATTTATTAGAATGTAATCACAATGGTTTATAGAAAGGACCGCGCCAATGTTATTCTAACAGCTTGTATTGGGGGGAAAGGGATTGCTAGTAATGGAGACAAAAAATTTAATTGCTAGCAATATACCCAACCAGGTTGACCTCCTCGTGGTTCCCCTTGGAAACTATCATGGTTAATTCCTGATGAATTCATCATGATGGGCTAACTGACCTGTTTTCATCCTCATCGATCACCCTTCACTGGTGCTCCGCCAGCGTATTCCATTACCATTCAATTTTCAACCGTGAAAAAAAAGCAGTTTGTATTACTAGTAATGGTGGCCAATCCCCATGATTAACCGTTTCCTCTCGCCCAAAATGTAGAATTAGTGTCCGATCACCTGTGAACATTGGCAAAAAATATAAGTTTTTGCGCACTTACCTATCATTGTCATTATTCATAACAGCGAAAAAACTTTGTCGGAAAGCCTACTGGGATGTCTTAATTCATCCATTTGACTTTTCTGAAGAACGGTTCTTAGCGGTTTTAACTTATTATTCGAAACGATGCCGAAAAAAGTTTGTTGCAAAATGGTATAACTATTTCCTATAAATAAATATTAATTACCTAAGATTATTACATACATACATACGGACATATCTGTCACGCCTGTCTTCCCTTGGTGTAGTGCAAGTGTAGACAGCAGCAATGGAATGTCGAAGGCTTCGATTCAAACCATAAACTCAGTACGACGTACTTATTTAATTTAAAAAATACTTTTTTCGTTTTTTTTTTTATACAACTTAAAATGGCATACAAGCTGACGGCCCACCTGATGGAAAGTGGTAACCGTCGCCTATAGACATGAGCAATACCATGGACATAACAGAGTGTACCGTTTCACCCATGACACCCCCATGCGTTGCCACTCCTGAGGACCCAGGTGTTATTCCTCTGTACCCTGTAAATTCACTGTCATATCCCACCCTTTTAAACAGAAACACAGCCATGCAAACATAACTGCTTCACGGTTGAAACAAGAATGCGACAGAGGTACCCAATCATACGACTTTTGTACAAAGTCTCCCTCGTTTCTTCCACATTCATCAATATTTTCATTAATATTATTATATTTTATTGATTAGAATAGTGTTATTAGATTGACACTATGCAAAGCATTTGTACGAATCACTATTATAATATAGTTGACCATAGAGAAAATTCATACATATTTTATACACTGTGTATTTTTTATGACCAGGTTATAGTCTAAAATACATTTTTTGGTCTCTAAACCTACATTTTGATAAATTTATGGAAATATAATTGATTATGTCTTTCGAGACCTTGTTCTGAGTATTTTTATGTTTTCAAATTGATTCATTAATTGATTAGCTATAAAGAAAGACCTCATATCAGAAAGAAAATAAAAAATAGATCTTGAATAACGGCGTTGTATTTCGACCGTGACTAGTTGTGACCCCCGGATTCTCCCGCGTGAAGCAGTGCATACGAATAAGTGTCATACCTATATGGTAAATTAGGATATAGCCTACTTGTATCATTTTAATGAAATCCGTTTAGTAGTTTTTGCGTAAAAGAGTAATAAACATCCATACATCGTTACAATGCATAAGATTATGTTACGTACATAACCCAAACGTCAGTCTTGGAAATTCAAATAAACTAAAGGTTTGTTTTGAATAAGTATAGTTTTCTTTTTATGTTTGAACCAAGGAAAAATAAATAAATTAACTCCGAATATATGTAAATGTGAAATAATAGCTTATTTATCAAAGAAATAAGTAGGTTACAGTGACCGTTTACCATAAAGATTGAAAATCTTTGTAGTATAAAAAATGTCTATGTAAAATATTATATCCTTGGTAAAGGTTAGTGATCAATCATTCAAAAGCCATCATTCATTCATATAGGACATATTTTTGCTACTATATATATATATATATATATATATATATATATATATATATATATATATATATATATATATATATATATATATATATATATATAAATTTTTTACTCCACTGTCCACTAAAGTAGCAATTTCATAAAAACATCCCGTTTTCCTAATGTAAATCTATACTAAATACCGGTCAACATTAATTAGAATCCGACGGCGATACATTCGTTCACGAGCATTTATAATATATAACTGCATTAAACGTGAGTATATCACTAGTGTTATTGAAAATCGAGCATTAATAAAAATAAAAATAAAAAACTGTTAACATACATGTTATTACGGTACTTATTTGAAGTTCAAATATAATACGTCAATCAAACAAGCCAAGTATTGTACAAGTAACTGTTGCGGTGAACGTACTAGGTACATGCTCACCAGTGTCCGATTAAACTTTCAGTTTCGTTTTAGCCAATTTCAAACCAAAGGAGTTTACTTTTTGTTTTGGCATAATAATAAATATTCTTATGTTTTTGGTACAAAATTGGTCCAAACCGAAACTACATGGGGGGAAAGGGATTGTTAGTAATGGAGACTAAAAATCCCATTGCTAGCAATATACCCAACCAGGACGACCTCCTCATGGTTCCCCCTGGAAACTATCATGGTTAATTCCTGATGAATTCATCATGATGGGTTAACTGGTCTGTTTTCATTCTCATCTATCACCCTTCACTGGTGCTCCGCTAGCGTATCCCATTAGCACAGGCGGGGTTACCATTCCATTTTCATCCACCAAAAAAAAAAAACCGAAACTATTGAAAAATTTATTTTTGTGTCACTTTGACCTCTAGAAATGTTTTATGGTTCCTCAAATCTTATATTATGATATATTCTTTTAAAGCGCCTGGTAATTTTTGAAGATTTTTTTTGGTTCGAGAAACTTCCAACTTTGTTTCTTTGCAAATTAACTAGGAAGATTTTCTTTTTAATATTTCCTTGTTACACTGTAATGATTTAAGAAGTGAAAGTTTTAAATTGATGAAAAAAACGAGAAAACGCGATAAAGAAAGATAAATAAATGAAAACAATACAATATTATTTAATATTCCGCACTCTTCTTCAGTGTTTATTTCCGCCTATAATATGATCATCATAGATAAATGAAATTATTATTGGACCAATCTGTAAGTATATCTTTTCAAATGAAAAGAAATTTCTAAATCGGTTTATATCTGACGGAGTTATGAGCCAACAAACAAAAAAAATGTAACCACATTGAGAACCTACTGTTTTGAAGTCGGTTTAAAAGTTTCGACTAAGAAATAGAGAACCAGTTTATTTCGGAGTACCGAAATTTTCGGTACCAGCCTATTCTGGTACCGAGAAATTCCGGGATTTGCTGTACTTTTGATAATTTTTAAATAAAAGCGATCCCACAAAAAAGACTTCAATTGTAACAAAACAAGGTATTTTGTTTTAAAAACGAAACTACTGAACCGATTTTAATAAAATTTCTATGGGACTAATCTGTAAGTATATCTTTTCTGATAAAAGAAGAATTTCCCAAATCGGTTTACAATTGACAGAATTTTGAGATAACAAACAAAAAAATACAACCGAACTTCTTAGTTCGGTTGTATTTTTTAAATTGGTTGAAAAGTCTAGATATCACAGGTACTTCTTAATCTATGATCAAACATGTTGTTAGACAAATGCAGTAGTTCTAAAGATAAGGTATTCTTAGAGGCAATCCACTATCCGTAATCTATGGTCAAGCAGTTAACGAGGGTCGATTTGGAGGTGCCATTCCTCTAACTCCTGTCTCTAAAATTAAAATTTCAATTTGATGACACAGCGAAAATTTTTGTAAGAACCAATATGAAGTAGTTTGTTAATATACTTAAATTTAAATTATTATAGTTTTAGTTTATAGCGGTCCATAAAATAGTAAATTTGCGAAATTAACACATTAAAATATAAGAATAATAGATAAATTTCAAGTAATGGCGTCTCCGAAACGACCCCAATGTCAATTTTTTACTGTCAGTGTCAGCTGTCATTTTGAATTTTACCTAACCTTTGAAATTTTGAAGTCAAAGTCAATATCGAAGTCATACTTGAAAATGAATTAATGAAGTGTTTGAGTGAAGTAATTCGTAACAAGATGATATCATACCCCAACAAAAAATGATAAGTTTAATATTTTAATCAAAATAATAATATGAAATAATGGCCGACCGTATCCGGCAAATCGCCCAACGTTTAAGGGATAAAGTCCATTTGCCTCAAATAAATGTTAACAGCAGGGAAAAAGTAGACCAACTAATAACTAAATACACTCCCGGTGCTAAAGTCACAGAAATTGCAGAAAAGTTCAAGCATGAAGCTATCACAAAAAGGGTTCAAGAGCTGGTGTCTAAGTATGAAAAATTCACGGGAGTTGAAGAGATAATGGCATTACAAAACACGGTAGTTGAGGCGCAGGTAAATATCGTACGTAAGTTTGGAGCAGACAATAAAGGTCACTTTGGGGATGGTCACCACCACAATAATAATAATTCATTAACATCGCAACACTGGATAAATATCTTTCTGTACCACGCTAACAAGGTGCCTTGGAATAATGTGTAGGTCTTGGAATATGCTGTATCCTGCTTAGCTCTCTTAGTCACCTCTTAGTGTCATGAAAAGAGGGAGAATGAATTGTTAGTAATGAAGTCTAACAGCTCCATTGCTAGCAATATACCTTATAAAATCAACCTCCATACAATTCCTCCTGGAAATCATCATATTCAATACTTATAGAAGTCATTACAGTGGGTGAACTGATTTAGTTTCATTTTCACCCATCATCTCTCACTGGTGTCCATCTAACATATACTGATAGTGCAAGCAAGGCTATTCCATTTTCAGCCATCAATAAAATATTTTGAGTATGAAAAGAAGTGGCTACATATTATATATGTATTTAATGACCACACTAAGAATATAATATCCTGTATTTTCCTGAAATGAAAATTTATTGTTTTAATATAATAATCTTACATTTTAGATTAGCTTTTAGCCTGCTATTTCATATGTGTGGATTTCAGAAGTAGGAAAACCAATTAAACAGACCAGTTTTAGATGGTGTTTCAAGATAAAATATACACCATTTTTTAGGATAGACTTACAGGAACACAGCTGTGAAAGCCACATTCAATTTGGTGTAGTAGTTTTTGCATGATCCCACAACAAATATACAGACAGGCAGACATATAAAATTTCTATAACTTCATGTTTCTGGCATCTATTGGTCTTATATATTCTAAAATGACTTGCATGTATAGACATGACAATTTTATTATATTAGATGTTCCATACAATTGCTTAAAATGTTCTTGATCATTCTTATCTCAACCTGTAAGTATATAATGATAAGACAGCTGTATAAATATTTAAATTAGTCACATTGCAATAATATTCTTGTTATTTTAGTACTTAGTTATTTCTAACTCTTGTCAGTAATTTGACCAACATTCAATATTCAGAATTTTTATTCCATTGTCTGAAAATATAATGTATTTAAATATAATAGGTTGAGATAATATACAAAGGTGTGATGTGGCTCTACAAAGAGAGCCTTACAAATTAAATTAAAATACTTTAATAAATTAATTATTACAATATTACCTATATTTGATTTTGCATTTGAGGCATATAATATGTAATTTTATTTAAAATAAAATTAAGCTGTATTCAGTTTTCCTATAATAAAAATTATAATTAATTTTTATTTGTTATTAAATAAAATATATTATACACTATTAATTAATGAAATCCATCTAAACTAGTGCTAGTCTCAAAAATTTTAGAATATTAACATACTAACCAAGTTAGTATGTTAATATCTTTCTCTTGGAGATAATTAGTAGTGGAGATTTTTTAATGGGTGAAAATGAAATGGTAACTCTGCTTGCAGTATTATTATATGGTAGTGGGGCACCAGTGAGGGATAATGATAGGTGATAATGAAAGCAGGTCAGTTAGCCCATCATAACGAATTCAACTAGAATTAACCACAATGGTTTCCAAGGAAAACCGCATAAAGGTCAACCTGATAGGGAGGGTGCATTGCTAGCAATGAGGTTGTTAGAATCCATTACCAACAAACCCTTTCCCCCCCACAGATTAGTCTTAGTTATTTATGTTTATCCAATATATTGTATCTCACCATCGGCAGGGAATCCATCCTCACACTTTAGAAACAGAAGGGTCGCGCACAGTGGTATGATCAGATGGGTGGTATGCTTGTTTTCCACCAAAGTAGCATAAAAAAAACATCAATATGAGCAATGATTAATCTATTTGAATATTTATTTCTCAGGAACGCTTCATGACGGCACAAGAACGGAGACGGGAACTTGGCCGTGAGGTAGCAAATATTGAGGCTCGGCTTAAGGAGCTTCATGCTGAAATGCAGAACACTATGAAAGGTGATGATAAGTACTTACACCTGTGCACTGAGGAACATAAGGTTATTGAATTTTTTTTTTTATATTGATTCTATAGCACCAATTCATTTAACTTCATCTATCCCGTAATTAAGTGTATTTTTTTACTTATACTTTATAAATTTATATTTCGCATGATATAATAAATACGCTTGCCTGCTACCAGTAAGATAAGTGCCCTCACACTGTTATAAAATTACAAAATTTGCCATTCATTACAACTGCACTATTTCAACCCAGCCAGTAAACTCCTTGATCAATTTGTGTTTTATACTAAATATGTATATTTACCAAGAATGCCCTTTTTATAAAGGTTCATGCAATTTCTCATAAAGAAGATAGATATTTCATATTGCGCTCAGTCATTATATTCTTTGCTACAATTCTGAAAAATTACTCGTGATGTATACTGTGAGCATCTAAATTGGTTCAGGACGAGTTATCATCCTTTGTCCATGTAGTTTCAACTCATTTAACTTTGATATGAATTACATTTTACACTGTGTCCCTGTACAGGCAAACACAGTGTAGGATGATACCCTACTAGATAGCGTGACGACCTCATGTATGCATTGCCGGGAGTCAATGGATGTAGATGGCTCAGGATCGTTCCTTATCGCAGTCTATGAGAGAGACTTATGTTCAGCAGTGGACAGATAACGTCTGATATGATAATGATGATAAATTACAATATATTTAAATCAGTCCAGTGTTTATGCTTTACTAAATTAAAAAAATATAACATTTTTTTATTTAAATGTGTAACAGCTCATTATCCAAGAGAGAGCACTTCGTTCACAATTTTCCGATGCGGAACGTGAAGAGCGCGAACTATTCGCCACAATGTCCGCCGCTGTCAAACTAGGCCACGAGAGGGAGAGGGCGCATGCTGAAAGGAACAAATATTGGTACATAGTCGCATCTATATTCGGTAAGTCTAGACATAGTGATCTGAGATCCAGCGATTAGCATTTATGAAATCTGGCAATTTTCCTCAAGGAAGGTTGAAGCTCGGATTGCATAAGAAAAACAATCTTACAAACCCTGCAGTCCTCATTTGCTGAAGGGCTTCCGTTTCTGAACGTTTTGGGAAATTAGTGCTGGTTATGCTTCTACTATAGAAGTGACGCGTGACACATAACGCGATACTCTTCGTAATTTTACTATAACACCATGATTTCATACACATTCCACACCTCTTTCTGCTATAATATATGGTAGAAGCCGATTTGTAGCAAATTCTCAAAGATTCGCGTCTTTACAGACTATTGTGTATTTGAATTGTCAGCTTTGCGCCTGGAACTGAGCTCCGAATCAATAAACAAGGTCTTAGTACAAAAGATTAAAATTGTTTTTTTTAATATCATACCAACTTTCTTGGAGAAAGTTGACCAGTTTCGTGAATATTGTCAATGGATTTTGGATTATTGTATCCTTTATATTACATTTGTATTTACATTGGAATTGTTTCCAATAGGTACAGTGTTGGGTATAGCAGGTTCGACAATCAACAACCACCTCAAAATGGCCGAGTTCCGTGACATGATGGAGCAGCAGATGGCTCGTAGTGCTAGTGTACTCTATACAATTGCCGGTGGCAGCGGCGGTACAGCCAGCAAAGCTGACATAGCTGAAGCTATGAAGACAGAGTTTGCTTATCAGGTTATTGATAACTCTTTGATTGATTTAATTTTTAAGGATAACCACTACCGTATTAATCAGCCGTGTGGTGAGGATGAAAAGGCAGATCCAGTTAGCCCATCATGACGAATTCAACGATAAATTAGTCATGATAGTTTCCGGGGGAACCGCGTGGAGGTCGACCTGATTAAATATATTGATAGCAATGGGGACTAACCTCCCCATTACTAATAATCTCTTCCCCCCAGTTGCGACGCTTGGTAGGCGGGTTGGCAACCGCAGTTAGGCTTTGGTGATGTTTTAAGAGGAATGCTGCTGTCCATTCCTCGACAATTAAGTTCCTTTAGTCGCCTCTTACAAAACAACTACAGGAAAGGAAAGGGTGGCCCGTTCTATACCGGGACCACACAGCATAGAATGGCACAGTAGAACCATAACAATATCCATCAACTATAATCAAAATTACAGACGGATTATTGTGCATAGAGTGGCGAAAGTAGTTCAGATTATTATATGTTATTGTTAGAGTTTGAATTGGTATAAGAGTTCTTTCACTTTCAGTTATATATCCTTTACTTATATGTCTATCTCAATTTTCTTTATAGGATCAACTGGCAGAAAATCTTAAGCTAATGCAGGAAAATATAGACAATCTAGTCAACAAGCAGTCTTCACTAATTGGTAAATATTTTCTTTCGCAGTAATATAATTGAGCAATCTTGAGATATGATCAGGTAGGTAGAATTGATCGTCGTCGAGAAATACTAAAAAAAAAAGTCGTCTCGTACGCCCGCGCTAGTTTTATTGAGTTTTAGTGAGTGTAATCTGCAAAAAAACAAAAAGTGCATCTGTACAAGATGGCGCACTATACAATATGTGTCTCACACACTCATGTCACTAGACTTTGGTTGTAGCTGCAAATAAAATTTACTAGACATACATTTGGTTTCGATTTCCATTCATCATTATCATCATCATCATCATCGAAAGCCGATAAAGTATGGCTTCATTAGGGAGTTGGCGTGTGAAAAACTGACAGTTTAATTTTCAAGTTATAGGAAATACTATTAGCAAACTAAATTAATCCAAATGATAGTGAAGTAGCAAATTATCCTATCAGAGTTTACAGTCGTGAGCATACTTATTTATTTTAAACTTTTTTTTTTAATTTAATACATCCTTTTCAGAGTCTGTAACTTATGAAAGACTGAATTATGTATTTTTTATATAGCGGCAACAATTTTATTTCAGAACACTTGCACCGCCAAGAGCACATTATAGAAACCCAAATGCGTGATATAAAACGACTAATCGTCACTGCATCCCAATCTAGTGCTAAATCTGATGCAGAACTCGCTAAAGCGTTATCAGTGGTCCACCAAGACTTCGATGAATCAGAGAGAGACAAAGATGAGTCCAAGAACAAAGTAGCATTTGACCCTAATCAAATTTTAACGGGAGTGGGAATTATAATTTGCGCTGCCATTATATTTGGCAATTTTATCGGCAGAATTAGTTGATTTCTAAAATTCCATTGTGTTCCTGGGTTTTTTTTATGGCAACTCTTAATTAATTTCCTACCTATACCTAATCAATTGCAGATTTTTTACTGCTGAACTGAATAGTTAGGAATCCAGTTAATATTTATTTAAAAAAAAATAAAACTGTCCATATAAAAGTAGTCATTTTAAGAATTTTTATACTTACTAATTTTCCTCTACTTGCCACAAACTATTAAGTTAATTTTATGTTTTAAACATTGTGTAAAAATAACCCAAGGCACTTTATAAATGTGATTATGTAGATAATGTATTTGTTAAGATTCAAAATGTCAACACTAATAGTAACTTATTTTGTACTTTGTTAAATCTTCTTTCTTATTTATGTGTTTATAACTTTACTATGTAATAACATGTAAAAGACAACAAAGGTATAATAATCGATACTTTTAATATAGACTGAATCAGGGTAAAAAACACATTTGATTATTAATTTTGGATATTACATTTTTTGCCAAATTTCGCTGATATTTTACAAGCTACTGATGAACAGATCAAAATATTTCATTGTCATATTTTAAATAACATTTGCTTCTAAATAATAATTTTTAAAATATATAAAGCTATAAATTAATAATGCCTACCTACCTACTGCTATAAATAATAAATATTTATGTTAGTGAACACATGCTAAACATATTTAAGCTTTCATGTTGGAGCTTAATGTATATAATCGGATATAAATAATAACAGAAATATTTTTTCTATGATATACCTATCTACAGAATTATTATATGTTATAAACTTATGTTTAATTATTTTTTGTTTGTGAATTTCCTTCTATGTATATACTATAATTAAGTTGCACAGAACGCCTGATTGAACCCACTATTATTATAATAACATTAGAGATTACAATGGTTAACAAAAAATAAATATAAATGTTTCTTATTGTTTTATTTTAAATATCAATATCAAGTGGAGTTAAATATCACGGAAAATGTTATCCCCATACTATAATTTTAGAATAATACCTTCCAACACCTTGCTCCAAATAGTTTAACTGCAATAAATAATATAAAGATGAGAACATGGAAATATCTGGAGCGCTGCAGCAATAAGCATTTCCATCTTAATTCCTCAAATGAATTATATAAATGGAAAGAGTCGTTTAACTTGGACATGAAAACCAGAAAATATCTCTGACGACATTCAAGACTGGCTCGCCAATTTTGAAACTTACATACCTATATATTTGTTTCTTACGCTTACATCACTGGATGTCTGATATTAAACAGAAACGTCTGGATAAAACATCTCATACATTATTATTCTTATATAAATGTGAAGAAAAAAAAGAAATTAACTTTTATAACGAATTTGGATCAAAAACTACCAAAATAAGACTAGGCTGTAGGGTTACATGACCATTGCCTGACCCATATGGAAAAAGATCTGACGAATATAAAAAAAAAATTGACAATTGCACAAATTAGAGATGTCTTTATATAAAAGTTCTCTTTTTTTTTTTTTTTTTTTTTTTTTTTTTGTGGCGTTCACCCCGATATTAGGGTATTTTGCCAAGAACAAAACGGGGAAACGATAATAGTAATAAAAATACCTAACACAAACGAATTTAGAAAGGATAAGGATTAGGTCTAGGATATTTATAGGATATGAAACATATACTTGTACATATGAGAATATACTTATAAATATATAGGAAAAGCAATTGATGCAACTATAAATGTATTCATGTAATATAACTAAATCTTAATATTGTTATCATATATATATGAAGATAGTATTTTATAGATAATAGGATCATTGGAAGAAAGTAGAGTAAGAATAGAAGTTGGGAATGGAACACGGATGGATCGGAGATGATTAAAAAGGGAGGTGTGGTCAAATTTAGAACATGAGAAGAATATATGATTCAAGTCCGCCACTTCAGCACCGCAATTACACGACGAACTTTGTACAATACCAAGCTTGTATAAATGAGAAGGTGTGCATACGTGACCTAGACGCATACGAGTTATAATAGTTGTTGCGGTCTTTCCAAGCTTTAATTTACAAAACCATGGTTTGAAAGGAATATCGGGTTGTATAAGGCGATAAAATCTTCCTTTTATTGTACTTGTTTTTTCCCAATATTCCTTCCAGGCATACCTTAAATATATTTTTGGGAGACAAGCTAGGTCACTACAGTAATTATGATACGGATACATATCACCACAAGTTACAGCCTCTCTTGCAATAAGGTCAGCTTTGTCATTGCCGCTAATACCACTGTGTCCTGGTAACCAGGCAAAAGAAACGGAATAACCTCTCAACATGCAAAGATAAAGACTTTGTCTTATGTCACAAATAATGGGATAAACTGGTTTTGATTTAAACGGATATTTGGCTAGAGCTTGCAAAGAGCTCATAGAGTCAGTGAAAACTATTGCCTTATGTAATTTCATTAAAAGTATATATTCTACAGCTTTTAAAATACCATAACATTCCCCGGTAAAAACTGAAGACTCCGGTGGAAGTTTAATTTTTTGAACGATATTAAATTGTGAATGAAACACACCCACACCTACACAACCGCTATTGTCTGGTTTTGATGCATCAGTAAAGATGTAGTGCCATTCATTCCATTCAATGTCAGTTATAAACATAAATTTGGCATTCAATTCTGAATCATTTTTTAATAACCCAAAATCATATTTAATATTAGGAGATAAAACTAAAGATTGATATGAGCATTTATAAATGGGAAAACAGGACGATGTAAAAGTGGGAGATTCTATGGATTTTGTTATGATTATTATTGTTATTACACGTCAAATAAATATGTTATTACAAGTCAACTAAATGGATTATTAACGATGGAGAAGAGAAATAAAAAAACAACCTTTTTCAGTTCTGTCATTGACACACAAGAAGTTTTTTTTTTTTTTTTTATTTTATAATACCATAAACAAAGTTAGGGTTGCTATATAAAGTTCACAATAAACTATACTTCAACACTACCCCTCAAACCAAACTTTGTTTCAAACATAAAAAAAAAATACCATAAGCACAAACAGCACAATACAAAAAATAAACTTATAATTTCTGATACAGTGAAATATCTTTCATAAAATTACTTATTTTACAGAACTCAGAGGCTTGGTGAACATATCAGCCACCATACACTGAGTAGACAAATACTTAATCTCTATTTTGTTACTCTCAACTGCTTCTCTAATAAAATGAAATTTAATGTCTATGTACTTAGTCCTATTACTATTTACCTTGTTAGCAGCTATCTTATGACATGACTGGTTGTCATTATACAAAATAATAGGTTTATCTATCATCTCTACATATAGTTCTTTAATAATATTCTTTAAGAAAATAGCCTCCTTGGCACCCTGAGCCAGGGCAACATATTCCGCTTCAGTTGATGATAATGAAACACAAGTTTGCTTTTTACTTTCAAAGGCAATAAGATTATCACCAAGTTTAAACACTAATCCGGAATATGATCTCCTGTCTTCTGAATTTGCCCAATCGGCATCAACATATCCATATAAACTGAAGTTCTTTGACTTCTTATATACTAAACAATAATTAATTGTACCTTTCAGATACCTTACAATCCTTTTTACCTGTACAAAATGTTCTTTTGTATAACAATTATTATATTGAGATAATACACAAACTGCATGTAATATGTCTGGTCTGGTATTTAGAGCAATATACATCAAGCTTCCAATTAAATTTTGATATGGAATTTTTGGATCAACGGTGTCACTTTTACTCATCCTCAAACCTGGTAGAATTGGTGAATTTACAGGTTTGCAATCTTGCATTCCATACACACTTAATATATTTTCTATATACCTTTTCTGATCAACAATTAATTCTGAACCTACTCTTCTTATTCTCAAACTTAGGGCATGTTCTATGGGACCTAAATTCTTTAATTTAAATTTACTATCTAGTAGAGAAAATATATCATGCTTTTTCTTTTGATTATTACCAAATGCAAAAATGTCATCCACATAAATTGCTAAAATTAAATAAAGGTTATCTTGTTTGAGAATATAAATACATGGTTCATGAACAGACTGCTTAAAACCAATATTAATCAAAGCATTATGCAACTCTTTATTCCAACTTGAGGCTGCCTGCTTCAGTCCATACATAGCTTTGTTTAGTTTGCATACCTTAGGCACATTATCATTTTTACCTTTATCAATTAACAAGCCCTTTGGCATATACATAAAAACATCTTCATTTAATGTTCCATGAAGAAAAGCAGTAACAACATCCCAATGGTCTATAAACCAATCAAACTGAATTGCCAAAGAAAAAAGAATTCTAAGTGCACTAGCACGAACAACTGGTGAATATGTATCATGATAATCAATACCAAATCTTTGATTATACCCACGTGCAACTAACCTAGCCTTATATTTGACAATATTGTTGTCACTGTCTTTCTTTATTTTAAATACCCATTTGCTATCTATAGGGGTTACACCCTTTGGTAAATCTACAATAGACCAAGTATTATTAATATCCAATGATGAAAGTTCAGCATTAATAGCATCTTTCCAACAAGCTGGTAAATTATCAAAATCATCAAAATGTAAACATTCATCATCAGATTCCATGCACATATACACATGATAGTCTGGAAACTCCTTTATCTTTCTATTACGCAATGGATATCGTTGAGAATTTTCACTTTCGACATTTCCATTACTGTTACCACTACACAAAGGATCCACATTTATCACTGACTCACTTTCACTTTCTGATAAATTATCACAGTCTAAGAACACAGGATCACTATCACATGAATTATGTATAAAATCTTTACCTGAACTTGGAACCTGGTCACATGCTTGAGCTGGATCAGCGGTGACAGCCCTTGGGGCCATAGACGATGATGCATGTCCTCTTGTCACTTTCTGAACTTTGCTGCTGTTGACTTCATCAGCATCAGGAATTAAGGATATCACAAAATCATGATTTTTCGAAGATTCCTTCTGATGTTTAGACTGCTGCTCTGTTAAATCCTGTTTAAAAATATCAACACATACTTGTTCTGGTAGGAATTTAACATCTCTAGATAAAACTATCTTTCTGTCCTCTGTCCATATTCTATACCCATCTTTGTCTCCACAATATCCAACTAAGTTTCCCTTTATTGCCTTTTTATCTAGCTTTCTGCGCTTTTGGTCAGGTACATGAATAAAACATTTTGTGCCAAATATCTTCAGATGACTTATATCAGCTTTTTTGCCAAACCATAAACTGTATGGTGTAGATGAGTCATCAACACCTGTTGGACCAGTCCTATTCAGAACATATGCAGCAGTGTTAACAGCTTCTGCCCATAGCTGCTTATCAAAATTATTTGCATGTAGCATACTCCGAGCTGCTTCCATTAATATTCTGTTTTCACGCTCCGCAGCTCCATTCTGCTGTGGGCTATATGGAATGGTCATGCGATGATTAATTCCAAATGATGACAATATGGCTTGCATTTCCTTGTTTATAAATTCTTTACCTCCATCAGTTATTAATTCTTTTATTGTATGACCTATTGTCGTAGCTTCCAAAATAAAGTTCTTTGTTACTTCTGAAACTGCTGTTTTTTCTTTTATAAAATATACTTTTCTGTATTTGGAGTAATCGTCTTTGAATGCAATACAATATCTACTACCTCCAACAGATACTTCAGCAATGGGGCCACAGACATCAGCATGAATAATTTGTCCTGGTACCTGTGCTCTGATATTTCTTGTATGAAAAGGCAAGCGAGACATTTTACCAAACATGCACCCATCGCAAACAATTTTTTCTGCTGGCTGGAATGGAATATTATTCAGTTTTAAGAATTTTTCAACATGTCTAATATTCTGGTGACATAGGCGTTCATGCCAGATATTTAAGTCTGCCGT